ATCTATAGATATTATGTAAATCTGTAAAAATAAACACATTTTCAGTGCTTAGGGTGCATTTGAAATTGAAACAGTCGTGGTCGGGGCCTGCCAACGAAAATTACCAATTTCAATAGGCCACATTCAGTTGGACAAGCCAAGCAGAAAATGTTGAATTTCCGCAGGCAGCCATGGCAATAGCTACAATAAATGGCAAACGGCAGCACATTAACACTTTACAAACAATGGCCAAAGTGGCATCCATCAAATGCAGCAGCCAGCCGGCAGCCAGAAGCCAGCAGCCAGCCACCCCACATGATCCATGGAGCCGCATCGAGGCAAGCCGAGCCAAGGCGATTCGAGTCGAGCCAGTTGCTGTGCGAGTTGCTTCTGGCTGTCACAGATCTGTCAGAGAAGCGAGACTGTGAACAATCGCAGGAAGTTCAAACAGCAACAGCAACAACAACAGGAGCAACAGCCTGGCTCCTTGCTCGTGCCTGTACCCGGCCCAGCCCCGGCATTTGAATTAAAGTGCCAGCAACAAAAACAACAAACAATTTCGCGCTTGAAAGGCTAAATAAAAGAGGCAGCAAACAGAACATGCGTTAAACTAATAATTGTCAGAAAAGTCAAAGTCAATTTCGATTTTTTTGTCCGCAAATGTAGCAGCTGAGCCGTGTGGCAAAGGGTAAAGACATATAAATATGTAGGATAATCGTATATGGGTAAACCTGACTTGTCTCCTGATGATGACGATGACGACGAGTTACGCGGCTCAATGTCAGGCTAAGACCACCACCACCACCGTCACCGTCACCATCGCCATCGCCATCACCATCGGCAGCAAACAGGCAAAATTGGGACTGCATTGTCAACTGTTTTGTTATTAGTAATTCGCATACGTAACCGAGTCCTTTTGGCCAAGCCGCCCCTTGCCAGCGATCTCAATCAAATGTCGCACATTGTATTTGTTGTGCATTTGACATTCATGCGCTCGGCTGCTTGTCTGTCAACAATTAGCACGCTATTCATCACGGTGTTGACTTTTTGGGTGCCGGCACGAAGGGTCAGACTCATCATGTGCATATATAATAGGTATGTCCGCATCAGCAGCAGCATCCGCATCCGCATCAGCATCCGCACCCTTGCTCTGTGTGATCATCTGTCAGCTGGCAGATGATGTGGTTTTCTTAGCTCAAATCTCGTGTAATGCCACATTACCTGATAAAAGACTTATAAACAAAACATGGCCAAGGTCGTACTCGAATTGATCTTGGCTTATACTAAACTAAAGAATCAGTAGACTGCATTAATTCCTTTTATATTCCTATGGCTCTATCAATCTTTCGTCACAGTTGTGTGAGCCGTGGATCAGACTTATAAATAGTTGACTTTTAAGCCAGGTCATTTAAAAGGCAAATGTAAAACTTTCTTGATTCGATTTACAGCAAATTATGCAGATTTAAAACTTGAACTGAACTTGATTAGTTTTTGTCCATTATAAAGAAACATTCGCTATGGATTATAATAACCAAGGTCGATGAGCATTTGAACTTACGGCTTAGATATTTAACAACAACAAGCCGAAAACATTCATATAAAATATATTAATAATAAATGAATTGGAGAAAAAGTATTAAAAAATAAAACAAAAAATTCGCAGCAAATATAATATTAAGAAAATGTTTTATAAAACTTACTTGAATTGATAAATACAAAAATTGATTAAAACAATGAATTTTGGGTTATAAGCATATGCTTACAAAAATTTAAAATGCTTATTTAAGACATACAATAATTTATAAGTTTAAAATTTTAATGTTTTAGAACTCTTAATTTATTTTTATTCTAAAATTATTTAAATGCTAATTAATAAAAAGTTAATTTTTCTAATAGAAAAATCATTAATCTTATTACTATACAAAGCTCATGAATCAGCATTTTGTATTTATGAAATTCTTTTATAATATTATTGTATATCAATTATGTTGTTTCTTATTTGAATATAGTTCCAATATCACATTGAAATATCTTTATTAAGGTATTTCATTGTGAATTAAATGGAATCAGTGGATAGCTTAAGGCTTGATATGCATAAAAAAGAATGTATTTCCTTAAGTTATGATGTACTCGTTGCATTTGAAAAAGTTTCTGTTTTTTTTTTTGTTAAAAATTATCCTGGACATCAAGCGCCGCAGTAGTCTGATTGGATTCTTAAACAAAGATCAAACTCGGAAGAATTAAAATACGCTCTGCTGATAACTTAAAGCGTATCGCGAATGTGACTTTGATATATAAAGATGCGTCAGCGCACTAAAATAGCTCGGCAAAGATTTTGGTATTTGTTATTTTGTTTCTCAAAGGTTGCGGCTAGCCGCGTATTTTAATTTTGTTGAGATTAATTTAACAAAATACGAAATATTCAGGGAAAAAAAACGTTAAGCATTTCAACTTAGTTTCGGAACTTTGCAGCTTCATTTAAATTTTTGATTGGCCTTCCAAAAACAAAAAAAAATAACAAAAAAACGAAAGAAAAAAAAGCGCTAAGCTCGTTTGCCGATCCGCTGGCTGCGACGGCAGCCTAATGAGCAAATGGCGTTCACTGATCGCTTTAAATTAATCTTTTTTTAATTTCTCGGCATTACCGATTAGATGCTGTCGAAGCTAAAGTTCAGCACAGTTCAGCTGGCCAGTAATGTAATTAATATGCAAATTATAAGTCGAAACTTGCGAGACACATTCACATTTTGTAGGTCCCCCAAGACAACAGCAAGCACAAAAGCCACTCCGCCGACTGAAGGCAAAATGAAGATGAACCTAAGCCACAGACGCCCAGTTCGCACGTGTGACTCTGCCAAAAATATAGTGTCGAACGATATTCGGAATAGCTAATCAGTCCAGAGTCCAGAGTCACACAAAGAGTTGGCCAGTCGCGCTCAGGTAGCTGCCCCCACTAATGCCTCGGCCGATATTTATTTATGAGCACTTGGCTTTGATTTTAGCTGGCGCAGCGCAGCACATAAATTTCCCATTGCGCCTGGTGTCGATATCTTTAGCCACATTACCACGCACGGCCCCCAACCCATGGGCGGCCTATGCATGCGCCAGCCGCCATCGAAGCCGTAAATACCCGTTTGCCTGATGGCTGCACTTTTTGGCATGTCTGCAGGGCCCAACAGGGCCCGGCAACTCAACATTTTTGCTAATGAAAATGAACTTCGCTGGAGCCGTGAGGGTGTGAATTTATGCCCGGGCGACAGGTGAAGCCTCAGTGTAACGAGAATATACATAATATATGATTTCCTATGGTTGAGAGTGCATGCGCCAAATGCTGTCTATGACTGCAAATGTAGTTGTAATTGTCTAGTGTAAAACTATGAATCCTCAACATATATCAACCATTCAGGTCAGTGCCACAATGGTTGCTGCAACATATTGTAGACAGATTTAACTTCAATCTCAATCCTTTTTGTTAAAACTTAAAAAATAAATTATTTCAATTTCAACCAATGTTTTTAATATAGAATAATGAATTCCTAAATATTACTATCTAAATAAAATAAGAACCCAAAGCTTTCACTTTTATACCCTCATACCTCAAGATGTCTATATATACAATTTTTGGTAAAACAATAGATGAGGTCAACAGAAGCTCAACCTCACAAATTTGAGTTTCTCACAATTTTTGCTGATTTTGTAATTCTTTAGAACATAACATAACATTCTTTAGTAACATAACTGTCAATTTGGGGGACGAAACAGTGGAAATAACTGAGCATTTCCCTAATTTTATGATGAGTCCTAATTTTCTTATTGATCACACCTAGAGGAGGTCAACAGTAACGTACTCGAAATGTTCATATTTCTAGCACTAAAGTCTTTTCGGTACTGCCATTTCTTCTAGGGGCATAGATATATAATCTGAATTTATAATATATAATCTATATCTTTTTAGAATCGATTTGTACTCATGAGTATATGTTCCAAATTTCAGATAGAAGCACGGACAGCTCGCCGCAAATTACACAAAACCTATATACCCTTTGGGTTCATAAATAAGTTTAAGAGCCCGTGCCATTGTAGTTCAGTGGCTTATCAAAAATTGTCTGATTTTATTACTTCCTAACTCATTTGTATAGAGTCAAATCATTGTCAAGGCTTTGACCCGACTGCAGATGCGTCTTATTAATTATTTATTTTGCTAGGCGGAACAATTAATATTCCATTTCGGAATTATCTTCAATAATGACATTTTAATACCACTACACTATGTTCTTGGGATTTTGAAACAAACCTACATTTGGGCCAGATCCCGCCCATGTGTTTCTTTACAAACAATATTATGTTTGGGTCAGTAGATTGCGATTTATAGTCCCGAGCAGTTTGTTGATTTTTCTTTAAACCAAAAGCTGTCAGTTTTGTATGCGCATACTTTTCATGAAAATTGTTTTTCAAATAAATTTTCCACCCACATGAAACACACAGCGCCATACATCTTACTAACAGAAAGAAAGAAGTCTTCGCTCGGATTCTCAGCCACAGAGAAACTATCGAAAGATGGCAAACGATTTCAATAGATTTCCTTTTCTCTTACTCTTGCATTGGATGCCGATGCTGATGCCGGTCGCTGTTCTGTTTGTTTATTTAGACATAATGCGCGAATAGTTTCACTCACTGACTAGTTGGGGCCTCGGTCTGGACGAATTGACGGACTGTTATTGCATTGCCGAAGGCAGAAGAGTGCTTTGATCTCTTAGCAGAGTGTGAAAACTGTATGCGAGGACGTATGGAAGAACGTATTGGTATCTGTATCCGTATGTGTCTGTATCTGTATCTGTATCTGTATTTGTATATGTACGTGTGCGCGTGTGATTAATCAAATGTTTATCAAGTGTGGGCCGAGGGGTGGGACACGACCTGCGAGCCAGTGCCAGATTCATAGCCAGAGCCAAAGCCTGAGCCGAAAATGGAAACAAAATATAATTAAATATTTATAAAATTGTACAGTAACAACAAGGCGTACACTTGTCGGCGTCAACTGTCACAATGTGACATTTCCCACATCAACGAACCGAGCCGAACCGAACCGCTCGCCCGAGTAGAAGCGTCCTACAACAATTTAACATTAATTCGCAGTCAAATAATGTTGCATTTTTTATGCGCAAATGTCGTCGTTGTCAAGTGCCAGCAGTGAAGCAGAGCAAAGTCGCAGGATGTGGATGTGGATGTGGATGTGCTGGATGTGCTCTGATGGAAAAGGGATGCAAACAAGCAGTCAGGAGGTCAACCTTCGCCCCTCTACCTGCCTCTACCCAGCCTCAGTACCCGCTACTCAGCCAGGGGTGGGGGATTGGGCTGACGTACAAAATGGCACTCTAACGGATGTATTAACGCCCCGCGCATTCGATGTATTTTTAAATAAGTAAGCAAACGAGAAACTCGTCGCTTGCACTCAACTTTCTTGCTGCTGGTGGTTGGCAATGTTGTGGTGCTGGTCTGCCGGTCTGCTGGCGGTGTGCGTTGCTCATCCAACCAGGCAGCCACCATGCGAGCGGCGTTGGCGTCTCTCGCTTGCAAAATGTCAAATGTCAGAATTTGACATGCGTGTGACATATCAGTGGCAGCTTTTACATTAATCAAACTCCCTTATTCTTCATCAGCCTGCAGAGACCCCGAACTCGAACCAGCGACACCAAGCTGCGATGATGACGACTACGACGACGACGACGATGGCAACGATGCTACTCAATTGACACATTGAATTAGGGATACGACGCCTTCTGCTGCTCTCTGTGTGTATACAAAGCGTGTCCGAGACCGATTCTCACTCATCTATTCAATTGTGGATGGGTCGCAAATAGTTCTCATTGCTGTTCGCCACGCATTTCATAGTTTTAATCTAATCATGTGAAACTTTATTTTGGGACTGCGGTTATCAGCCCAATATGCTATTCGTTCTTTCTATTTTCAGATTAAACTTCATTAAAATTAAGGAATAAATTGAAAATGGTTTGGCTGAAATGAATTAATATTATGGAGTACAAATAAATGAATAGGAATAGAGCTAGAAATAACAGGATTAAGATAAACGGAAAAGCTGAGCCTTAATATTTGGGTTATATATAGAAATAGGTTAAGAGGCAGACATCAAATTCAATTTGAACATATGACATGCTCATAGGTTAAGTAGATCAGTAGCAATACCCGAGTGAATCTTATAGCAACTTAACGTCTTCTGGAATCTATATTGTTCTTTAGCATTCGCATATCCCCTGTCTTCAATCACTTAATATGTAGAAATAAGAAATCCCTAGCTTAGGCTATACAAATCACTAAATATTTCTACAATAAGATCAGCCAAAGTCCATCTCCACGATGCTGCATGATATGTCAATTATGTGTATGAAGAAAGCGGGCTTGCAGCAATTTACTCGAGCCCGGGCAGTCAAATGTTTTGTTTTAAGTACATTAATTGTTCATCGTTTTGTTTTCATCAAGCCAAGTGCTGGAGGAAAATGTAAAAATCTTCTCTTAAATTACTGTCAATGTGCGACGCATCATCCGAGCCACATCATCATGAACAGAGACTCGTCAGCGCCATCATATATTTGCACGATCGAGCAAAGTCTTTTAAGTCCAATTAATATTCTTATAAAGCATTGCTGCCCGCATGCGCTGTCAGCGTTATTGGTCCAATAGAACTACTTAATCCTGCAGCCGTAGAAAGGCGTGCGAGTGAGAGCCATTTGGCTAAATGGAAATGTCAAATCATTTGTCAAACGTTTAATTAGCTATGCGATACCGTGCGTTGCCCGTTCGCCTTTCACGTAGCCATGGGGAGCAGCAACTCCAAGGGCGTCGTGGGCGCCACTAATAGGTGTGGGGCAGGCAACGTCGGCGGTCGCCCGGAGGTCTGCTCTGAATGCCAAACGCACGATCCATCTTGAACTCGTCAATTCGCTTGAGATGGCGGCTCTGCGTAACGAAATGGCGAGCACAGTGGAATGCGTGTCGAAATCACATCAAATATTTCAAAATCTAATCGCGCGCATGCGTGAAAAGCCGCAGGAGGCGTTCGCTACACACATCACCAGTTAATTGTGGGCCTTCGCCATAAAGTTAAACAAAAGGCACAGCGCCATGACAAAATCAATAAAAAATCAGAATCAACTAAGCCACATACATACACTTACATTCAAAAGCATAATATTTCTATTTTGTTAGGCTACTTGGCTTTTCAACCATGCCCCGACCAATAGACATAAATCATGGGTCAGTTTGGTGTGCGGCAAATGTTCAAATGATGCTCAGAAACATGTAGAACATGACGTGGGACAACAACCAAATCATACACATTTCGAGCCTCTGCCTCTGCCTCTGCCTCAACCACAGCCACTGCCACAGCCACTAGCAAATCAACATCAGCAACATCATCTTAATCAGAGAGTCGTCGTCAGGTTGCGTTCTTCAGCCTCGCAGCTGAGTTACGATGAAATTGAAAACACTTTTAATGCGCCTTGATTTATTATCATCTCTTTGGCTGTGAAGTGTGGCTGCGGTTTTGCCTCACTGTTGGCCACAAGTGCTGTGAATCAACAGAAAATAATTGTGAAGGATTTTTCAAAAGAAAATCGAGCAGTTTTTAGTGTTCCTGGAGTAAACAATGCAACACGCAAAACATTGTGCCTGTCATCGTGAGACGCTCAATGCGCGATCATCTCATACGAATTGTAAATTTTGACATATTCATTTCGACTAGAGGACTAAAGCGACAACATCGAAAGGTGTTACATGTCGTGCCCGTGTCCGCATCCATACCCGTGCTAGCTGTCATGACATGCATTTATGCAAGAATTACAGATGATGATGATGATGATCTTCGTCATCGATGAATCGGCATCGAGATCGACCTGTGTCATTGGCCATTCGGGGCTAATTTGCTATGCCCAGGCGGCCGCTATCAAAATATTGTTAAACATTTGTCTGACTTGTCTCCAGGCGCTGTTTGTCTTAACCAAATATCAAAATAAATAATTTAAGAGCGGAAATATTTAGTTTATTGCAAGTGATCTGGTCCCTGCCAGAGTCAGAGCCAGAGCCAGAGGCAGCGCCAGAAAAACAGCCAGAGTCAGCGCCTGCGATCAGGTGCAGCGGACAGCTGGCAGTGTCTGCAGTTGGAAATTATAAAACAATTCAGCTGAAATGCGCTTTGGCGGGTGCATTTAATTATAATAATTTTAGAATTCTTCTCTCTGCTCTTTTGCATTTAATTATCATGAAAATTGCAGGCCACTGGATAAAGTTGATTCCACATCATGGCGAACTGAGCGGACTCGATCCGGGCCTCACAGATCCTAACCTAACAGAGGCTACACCTTTTATAATGTCGCTGTTCGTTACCAAGTCGCTCCACGGGGCGCATTTTGCGTTCAACTTCACCTAAGATTGCAGCTCCAACTCCAACTCTGACTGCGATTGAGACTGAGGCTGAGACGGTTATGTTTAAGGTCCGCCCGTGTGGCTGGTAAGCCAAATTGCTTGGCTTATAATTTCATGCATTTTACATGGATTTCTTAAGATTGAAATTGTATTAAGTAAGAGCACTGGGCAACAAATTTCAGGCGGCATACAAAATTGTAAGAAATTAAATATAATAACTAGTTGCGAAAGCTCACTTCAATCTGGCAAAGAAAATATAAACTAACTAATTTTCCAGTGGCTATAGCTTTTAAATACTGTTGTTCTAACTAGCTAAATACTAGCTTGTTCTAACAAAATATTGCCTGAGTTAATTTGAGTTGCTTTAGTTAGTTAGTTTAGAAAATTAAAATCAATTCAGTGTGCAGTGCAGTGTATAATGCATGACATTTGATCATATCAGCGCCAGCACAGCAAATTCTTGGGAAAACTGATTTGTAACTTGGCACACAAAACATATGCGCAATCATATCGCATACAGCATCCGTACAGACAGAGCTACAGCAGAAGCAGCAGCAGCCGCAGCAGCATCGAATGCAATCGCCAACACCCGCCTCTGCCAACCCGCTGGCCACGCCTCTAAGCATCGGGTCGTCGCAATAAACTTAATACGAAAACTTTTCAATTTAACAAACGCCAAGAACGCACGCTGAGCGACGCAGTGGTAACTAAAACCAAGTGGCCATGTTAGCCATGTTAGCCATGTTAGCTGTGGGCCAGTAGCTGACCATGGCAGATGAGCTACTGGTGGTCAGATGTTGGCCATGCAACTGAATGCCGAATGCCAAATGCCTGTCCTGCTGATAAATCACAAATGCATTGGAGCGCGTATCAATGAGAGGCGAAGTTAAGTGAGGCCGAGACGAGTGCAGCAGAGCGGAGGCCTCCCCTACTTAGGCCTCCCAGCATTGGGGGCTACTGTTTTTGCCCGCGCCAGCTTTAGCTAGTAATTATTTTAGCGCTCTTGCGCGAAATTTGAAATTCATTTCATAACTCAATGTAATGGCCCCAGCGACCGCAAATGCGCAACTCCAGTGACTGATGGGCCAATAAACTAAACGATTTTATGTAGTTGACTCTCGACGTGCGACAAGCCAAAGTAATGAAAAATAATTAGAAATGTGTTTAAATGCCGTTCAGTGAAAGATCTCGCCTGGTCGCCCAGCCAAACCAGTAGGCAGCCCCATGACCAGGGTCTTAAAGTTTTCGAAACGGCATTAGCTGCTAATTGCCTGTTAGATGGAATGCCCGCAATGGCAAACTTGCATGGCAAATAATTTAGCAAATCGGCAAGTGGACGGCTTTGCCCCTATCTAATATAAGCGTGAATGCAAATCAAATAGCTATCAAAATATCAACTGTTTGTATCAACTAATAACTATACGTTGTCTAAAGGTTAACAGTCAGTTCAGAACTCAAATTAAAAGCGAGATAAACTGACAGAAATACGTATACAAACAAGTAAGAGTGCCTTAGTCAGAAGCGCCCAGGTACGAGATACAGTAAATCGCCCTGTTTGCTGCTGTTTCAATCAATCTTGCTCACACACACAGAAGCATGTACACGGCATAATTTTTCTTAGCGGAAAGCGAATTATTGAAAAACTTTGATGTTTATTGTTCTATGTTTATGATGTATAAAGACCAATTGAAATGATAGGGACAAAAGCTTTCGCACAAAATATGTATTTAACTCTAATTGTTGGCCAAAATAATAATAGTAATTAGCCTAATTTTTGGAGACATTATTAAATTCCGAAAATAAAAAAATAATAATACTATATATATACTTGGAAAAAAAAAAATAATAAATATAATTACAACTTAAAAAATAAAAATAATAATAATTCAATTAAGAATAATAATTTATAAAAATTTTGGGATTGATAATGATAAGAATGATAACGTAGATAATATGTCTATTAGATTAGTTCATTCCTTAGTTTGAGGTATTTTCCAACATGACTTGATGTATAATCTTAATGATTCGCAATTCTACAAATTAGAAGAGACTATTTTAAGTAAATTGGGAAGAGAGAATGTCTTTTGAATGCTCTTTGTTGTTCTTTATTTTAATCTGTTTGCAGCTGGAGTCAATTACTATGTGAAATCAAAAAGAAAAGAGAGAGATCGAAAAATATGAAGCATCAGAAATTTGCTCTACATTCCATTGCGTTACCTACTTCCAGCCAATAGATCAACATTTGAGACAATATGTAAAATATTTATAGCTAAGCGCAACAAATGGACAACAAAACAGAATTCGCCGACACAGAGCTATTAGAGCTAATGCCAAAAGGTATTTGATAGAAGTGGCATAAAAGAGATCAGAATAATGGAGTTTGGTATTTGGAGATAGTCATATATGGGAGTATATGTTGTGTAGTACAAAATACATCTATAAAATCAATTACGATACGATTTCTCCTTTGATAACAACAAGCGAGAGGCC